TCAGGATCAGTATCTTTCCAGTGCCAGTTCAAGAAGGAGCCCTGGCCCCTCCAAAGTCTACCTTGTGAGAGAGAAGCTTCTGTCCAGTGGTGCAGGGACCCATGTGTAACCACGCAGAGTCTGACCCATGTGACTGGAAGAAAGTGTGAGCACAGGTTCTAGCTTCAGAAGATAATGCTGTTTCATTTGAATATTAATATAAAACAGTACTGACAAGTAGCATTTCTTGCTATTGTTTCATTATTCCTGTGATGCTGTCCCTGAGAAAGGATTGCAGCTTTTCCTGAAAGTGGGGGAATGCACAGTCCCTCAGGGTGCCTCCTCCCCACTGGGGGAATACTTAAATGGTGGTGATGGCAGGAAGGGACTGCTACTGTAGCCACTCAGTTTTTATTTATTATTAATTATGTATTGTTAATGAAATGCTTGTTTAATGAAAAGAAATGCTTGCATTCCTCTTACTAGATTTTGGGCAAAACGTCTTTATGCCTCACTCCAGCTTTGGCATGAGTACACGTGTATGTGTAACTTTTATTAAAACATGAAATAACTTTTCCAGACTAAATCACCAAATAAATTTAATGTTTATCCCCACCCCTACATCGATGTGAGTGTGATATGTGTCAGGGAGTAAGAAAACCCACTTCATAATAATGTGTGTGTATGTCTGTGAGTGATTAAAACTCATTCCCCTAATAACTTCACAAATTTGTTTCAGTTGGAATGAAGAGTGAGTGGAGAGAATAGTATAGGACCCCTCTGTGTATCTGTGAGAGTGGATGAAGGGTACAAACCAGTTGTGTTAGTTTGTTCTCACGCTGCTATGAGGAAATACCGGAGACTGGGTGATTTATTAAGAAAAGAGGTTTAATTGACTCACAGTTCAGCATGGCTTGGGGGACCTCAGAAAACTTACAATGATGGCGGAAGGTACCACTTCACAGGGGGGCAGGAAAGAGAATGAGTGCCAGTATGGGAAATGCCAGACACTTATAAAACCATCAGATAGCTTGAGACTGGTTCCTTGTCATGAGAACAGCATGGGGGAAACTGCCTCCATGATTCAGTTACCTCCACCTGGTCCCACCCTTGACATGTGGAGATTATGGAATTATGGGGTTTACAATTCAAAATGAGATTTTGGGTGGGGACACAGCCAAACCATATCACCAGTAGAGAGGGAGTGAGGATTAAAGGGTGGCAAATCTGGTTCACTTGGAAGTCTGCAGCAGGTCTGAGTAGGATGGCTGGCTTCTCACTGCCAGCTTTCCCCTTTTCCTCAGGCCACTGAGAAATGAGAGTCTTGGAACACAAACTGCAAGGCCGAGGCAGTGACAGTCCATGACAACACAGATTCCTTCGCCTTTGTTCATACTGCTCCACAAAGCTGGCATGTTAGCTCTCAGAATCTGGGAATACAACTGGGAAGAAATCTTAGTGATAAGCCAGTCTACCCCCTCATTTTGCAGAGGAAGAAATTAAGGGAAAGGTTAAACAGCCAAGGCCATGCAGCTAGTGAAGGTCAGCTGACTCTCCACACTCCAAGTTCCTCTAGTTCTAGTCCAGGGGAATAATCTTATAATCTTGTGCTGTAGCAGATACAGAATTACCATAAGAGGTCCAGGACCTTGGGCTTTTTGTTCTCAACATGTGTTGGTGTGAACAACACTCATCCCTAAATTAGAGCGATATTTTGTTCTATATTTTCTATATTTCTATATTTTCTGCAATATGCTAGTTAACACACATGTAGTTACTGAACCAGTTGCTGTGCCTTCCAAATACATGAGTTTTTAGCATAGGTACATCTCTCCACAATTGAAAATATAACTTGTGAACCTGTGTTAAAATGCTTATGTTGTTAATGACGATGTAAGTGTTGTTTGGTTAAACCTTTATTCTTCTGTGTTGGGAATGTGCACCAAGAGTGCTATAGTAGAGAACCCTGGCCAAATGTCCTGGGTATAGAGGGGATTTGCTGGGAGTGTTGAGGGCTTACATTTTTTTTTTTTTTTTTTTGAAGACAGAGTTTCGCTCTTGTTACCCAAGCTGGAGTGCAATGGCGTGATCTCAGCTCACTGCAACCTCCGCCTCCTGGGTTCAGGCAATTCTCCTGCCTCAGCCTCCTGAGTAGCTGGGATTACAGGCACGCACCACCATGCCCAGCTATTTTTTTGTATTTTTAATAGAGACAGAGTTTCACCATGTTGACCAGGATGGTCCGATCTCTTGACCTCGTGATCCACCTGCCTTGGCCTCCCAAAGTGCTGGGATTGCAGGCATGAGCCACCGTGCCCAGCCAAGGGCTTATGTTTTTATGCTTCTTCCTCTACCTATAAAAAAGCTGGTTTACTGAAAGATGGCTGTTGCAAAATATCCTTAGATTTGGAATCACCTCATTTGGGGTTGAGTTAGAGACTTCTGGTGATTGATGAGAAGCTCAGTACTCTAATGGCCACCCCCATATCCTCAAGTGTTTCCAGTTCACACTCCTGATCATCCCTCCTTTCTTGGCACATGTTGCTTTTTGCCATCCTTTCTTCCTAGAACCATCTTTCTTTGTGTCTATATTTTCTTTCTCTCTACTAAAGGATATCACAAAAGGCCCTGGGCCTGACTGGCCATAGGATATGGGGATATTTTATGTTTGCTCAGAGCTAAAACATATGAGTAGAAGATAACTATTGATTGAAACTTTTTTTTTGAATCTTTGATAGTGTTTCCTGGATTGCACTCTGAGACATCTGGTACTCCAGAGATGTCAAAGATCTTCCAGCCCAGACAGATTCTGTGTTCAAATAAGTTTGTAAAGCAAAGGGTAAAACTCAATTGGTGAAGGACATTTTGGGACCTTTAAAACAACAACTCACTCTCATATACATTATGAATCTTCAGGAGGATAATACGTCATGCTACATTTTCCTCAAGCATATTTAACCATTAGTAACACTTGTTTTTTCAAAGTATTACCCAGGTTCAGATTTTATGAACATAATTTGGGAAAAAAACTAATCAATGTGGATACTTAAACTTTATAGATGTATAGCCTTTCAAAATCCTATTTCTGAAGATTAGTTTTTTTAAAGCCAAAACTTACTTCGAAGTGGGGGGAAAGAAAGGAAAGAGTAGGCAGAAAAGGGTTTAAGCATACATAGAGGGTAAAAGTGTGGTGGCGGAGAAAGGATAAAGAAGGTGAAGGCACCTGGAAAGGCATTTGAGTAAGAACAGAAAGCTGTTCTCTTAGAATTATCTCCACTTACGTGAAGGTCGATATTGCCATTAGAGCACTGGGGGCAAAATTGTGCATCGTTGGTGATGACTATTGCTGCTATCGCTTATGTAGACATAAAGTATGGACCTCTTGGAAAGTGGAAACAGTGTGTCTTTCCAGGTTTATTCACATAACATACACTCTTGAAATAGACCTGTTTTCAACTTAGTTTAACCTTATGTTGCCATGATGACGCACAAATAAAAGAAATATTCAGAAAATAACCTTATGAAAAGAAAGAGAAAGAAAAAGAAGTATAAGGTTAGAGAATAACATTTTTGACCAGAAGTAGTAGAAATAATAAACATGAGAGGTGAGGTCTGGCTTTACCTGGGATGTGAAGGGAGACACTGTATCTTAGATGAGTCTGGGCATGACTTGGGTAATGTCAGTGTGTTCAAGTAAACTGGGAAAGACTGGAACTTGAACTTAGAAACTGTCCTGTGCAGTAAAGGAGTCATGAGAAAGGCAATTGAGCTGCCTCTTAGATAGGCCAGTGGTTGTGGCACCAGATACCCTGTGATTGTCTCCTGCCCATAATGCTGTGTATGTGGTTGTATATGGGATGTTGAATAGAGGCAGGAATAGGACATAGTCCTTGGAATATGATCTGGCAAGAGAAAGACAGAGCTAGTCTCCTGGAGGATGTGCTATACTCAGAAGACTCTTGATATAGGGAGGACTCAGGTGTGAGAAGTGAAGCAAGTCCTGGGAACTGAGATCAGACCTGGGACAGAGGGACAGGGTCAGCTGGGCAGCACAGCCAGGGGTGACCTTGGGCCCCAGAGGGTTGATCCAGGGGTGTGAGATTCTCTGTCTCTTCTCTTAGACATAAGACTGGGCCTGGCCCTGACAATTTTGGGGGTATAAAGAAGGAAAGCCAAGTGGTTCAATTATGGGAGAAGAAGAAAGCAGGAATTAGGATTTCACCAAGCTAGACAGATAGAAGTTGTGTCACTTGGGTTTTGTTAGCCTTTCCTTTTGTAAGGTTGCAATGATACCATTAAGTCTCTCATCTGAGCCTGATTGAATGCAATGAACACCTCCCTTCGTGTTCTCATGAAGATTTGGGGGAGTATAGGGTTTGTTAAATCAGAAGCAGCCTACACAGCTGTCATTTTCCTTTAATGTGCCAAACACTAAAAAATAAACAAAAACAAATTTTAGTGTTATCATCTCCACTTTCCAGACAACAAAGCTGAGTTCTAGGAGGCAAGACAGCTGCTCAAGTCCTCAGAGCTGGAATGTGGAGCAGTAGCAGTTAGGTCAGGTTTTCTTGACTCCAAATCCCTTGGACTTTTGCCCAGACCAATGATTCTCAACCCGGGAAGTTCTTAAAAATGTCGACACATGAACCTCATCCTCAAATGTTTGGATTCATTTCATCTGGGGTGGCATTTGAACCCCTGTATGTCTTCTTTTAACTCTCCCAGGTGATTTTAATGTGCGTATAGAGCTGAGAATTCTGGCTGTCTATCATGTCAGTATTATTGTCCTGGGCCTTCAGTATAACACTCATCCATGTAGAGAATAAAGAAATGTGTATTAATTTGTTTAGATGGTTTTTTGGCAAGAAAGGCAAGCAGTGACTATATGTCACCAGAAGTTATAAAGTGACTTTTTAGAGGCTGAAATGGAGTATTTGATGTTTATCATAAAACATAATTAAGGACTGGAGGGCTGCTGTTCACTCTCTGCTCTGAAAGGCTTTTCAAAACTTGCCTTGCAGGTGGCATTGTCGTCAACCCAGCCTATTATGGGAAGCCTGGCCACATCAACACCATGATCCATGAAGTTGGGCATGTTCTGGGACTCTACCATGTCTTCAAAGGGGTCAGTGAAGGAGAATCCTGCAATGACCCCTGCAAGGAGACCGTGCCATCCATGGAAACGGGAGACCTCTGTGCCGACACTGCCCCCACTCCCAAGAGTGACCTGTGCAGGGAACCAGAGCCCACTAATGACACCTGTGGCTTCACTGGCTTCCCAGGGGCTCCATTCACCAACTACATGAGCTACACAGGTATCACCACTGTCTGGTTTTGTTTTCTTTTAAGAATACATGAGGGCCTCTATGAGCTGAGAGGGTGGAGGTGTGGGAGCTGATGGGAAAATGATTAAGTGGTCATTTAGGTCAGAAAGTTGAAGTGTATTTATTATAGGGTATTATTTTCTCATGTCTTTGAAGAACTTGAAGAAATACTGAAATATTAAGGTGCTTTGTTCACTGAATTCTCCTGTACTAGATATTTAAAATATGCTTCTAGATAGTAAAAAAGGCTAACAGCCCTCTTGTGATCCCTTTGACTTCTAGAATGTGGTTATTCTTATTTTTGCCCGCATTTTTAGGCATTTACTCTCAAGAAGAATCCGGTGGAAATAAGGGAAAAGGGTTTATGGGCCAAGGTGGCCCTTCGTACTAGTTTTGAATTTGGTAAAGAAAGTGGCTTGATTAATTTAGGCTCAGGATTTTTTTTTTTTTTACTGTATGTTATTTAAAAAAACAAAATGAGATTATCTTTTTCCAGCACTAGTCAAGCACTAATTCTTAGCTGCCTAACACCCTCCCCCCACCAAAAAGTGCCATCTAATTAAAAAAATGGCATCTTCTTGGCCCTGGAAAAACTTATTGTCTGGTCTTTCCTTGCTTAATTTAGCTTCTGTATTATTCTTCCCTGTCTCTCACGCCTTCCTTGTTTCTGGTAAAAAGTAATAGTGACCAGTTTCCTGATAACGGAAAATTTATCTCTAAAATTAAAGACTGATTTGATTTGATTACCTAGTCCAATGGTGAATGAAGATTTTTTTTTTTCTATAAGTTTCAAAGGCTTGTTTGGTGACAGGTTCTTCTAGAACTATCAAAAAAAAAATAATATACCACCACACCCCGGTCATGACTTTGATGGGAAGAAAGCGTGATGAACTGGTCCTTCTGTCACCTATCAGGATGTGTCTATCTGAGTTCCCTTGCAGCGAATAATTCAGCATATCATGAGCACTTCTCCTCCCCATCAAGGGACAGAGAGATCAGATGAGGCCATGCAGAGGGCAGAGCTCTGGAGGCAGCACCTTTGAAGGGGGAAGAGGAAACATTTAAGAAGCTGAGCAAGGCAGTATTTGGCGTGTTTTCACTGGAAAAGTCCCTGAAACCCTTTCCAACCTATGCAAGGTGTACCTGCTAAAGAGACTTTGCCATATCCAAAAGTAAGGCTGAGACCACCATTCCCAGCCCTGCTGTCTCCTTGACATTTGGCTCTCTTTTCCCTTGAGCAGCTCTACTGAATACTCACTAACCTCTGCCAGCCTCACTGGGCAATAAAGCAGGTGTCTCCAACTCCACAAATGTTCACAAGTGAAAAGGCCATCTGTTGAAACACTGCCATCTTGTGGTTCGCTGAATAAGCAACCATCAGCTCGGAGCAACCTGAGTCTCACCCTGGGCCAGCCCAACTTTAAGGTCATGACCTTGCTTTAGACAAGAAAGTGCTACATCTCTCGTCTCTGTCTTCTCTTATGCATATCCAGCTTAGACCCTTTCTGGAACAGATTGCATTTGTTCACCCAACAAGTGCTTATTGAGCATAATAAGTTAACTCAGCCATGAACAAGGTACAATTTATCCCTGCCTTGGTGGACATGACGGGTTAAAATCTCCATCTCTTGTGCTACCTTTTTTCTCTCCACAGATGATAACTGCACTGACAATTTCACCCCGAACCAAGTGGCCCGAATGCATTGCTATTTGGACCTGGTCTATCAGCAGTGGACTGAAAGCAGAAAGCCCACCCCCATCCCCATCCCACCCATGGTCATCGGACAGACCAGCAAGTCCCTCACTATCCACTGGCTGCCTCCTATTAGTGGAGTTGTATATGACAGGTGAGAGGGGCACTGGCCATGGGTGAGCTCGTTCATTTCTCTGTGGCATTTCATATGAATAATGGGAAGAATATGAAGCCAGGGGAACTCTAATTTGGAGCTATAAATGTGTGCATCACTGCTCAGAGCTTCTGTTCCAGCCTGCTCTGTTCTCATTGCTTTAGCAGAGCTCTGGGCTCTCCTGTGAACCAGTGGCTTATAGTAAGTACTTGCTCCCCCTCAGGGAGGCCTGGAGAGGCTGACCAATGTGACAGGGATGAATTGGCAGAACTGAGAGGGCATCTGCCACTTGTCCCTGTCAGCTGTTCCTCTGCAGCATGAGGGTGGAGTGGCAGCTTGCCACTTGCACGGTGGTGTCAGGGGAGGGATTGCAGCATGCTTCTCCAGGCACTTCTGGGTGTGTGTGGGTGGGAGTGTGCCCACTGTCACAAGCTGTGCAGCAGGGGTTTCCCTGACTTACGCAGGCGTTTCTGACACTTTCTCAGCCTCCTGTGACTCCCCCTCTTACGGCCACTATCATGGAATTGTCATCCTCTGCTCATTTTCCTATCTGCCTCACTTGCCTGGCAACTACTGGGGGAGGCAGGATTATTCTTTGTCTCTTTGTCTCTTTCCCTGCCACCTCTAATATATGTTTACTGAATAAAAACATTACATCTAAAACTAACTTTCCTTCGTCCTTTGCCTATTGATTTAAAAGAATATCAGAGAAATATTTGGAGATAGGAGAGAAAGGTAGGAAAATGAATGACATCTGATAATTGGTGGTGGGGATGGGAGAATGTCATTTCACTGAGAAGGACCAGAACCCCCTCCATGACCTGTACAGACTGACCTCTTTCAAAACCTAATGCTGTATTCTGAATAACGACAGTACCTTACCTATTGGTTGCACTATGTGTGAAGTGTTGTGCTAGGTGTTTTACCTGCAATTGTCTTATTTAGTCTTTGGAGTAAACACAGTTTCTGCTAAATGAGTGAGAAGTCTGAGGCTTAGAGCAACATACAGTGGCAAGCCCAAGACCCCGCAACTGACTAGAGGTGAACTGGGGCGTCCAGTGGAAATTCAGGAATAAGGAACACGGAATGGATGATTTCTTTTAATTTAGAGCTTTCTCATTTGGCACTTTTCTTCTTTGCACCACACTTTCTCTCCGGGTGTCAGGCTTCAGCTAAAGAGAAGGATGTCCCTGGAGCAAGTTTCTGTGTCCTTCTGCTTTGCTGAAAGCATAGGGAGAGAGCAACAGAGAGGCGGATAGGAGGACGCTGGTGAATCCTCTTTCACGGTGGTGTTTCAGCCTCCTGGGATCTTGATCCCTGTCTCTGATACCTTGATACGTACTTCATGTGTGACACCACTTACACCTCACAACCCTACGAAGTAGTTTCATGGTCGTCGGTGCCAAAAGTCTCATGGGCTCTGTTTGTGATTCAGCACACATCTGTGTGATGTGTGTGAGGATCCTCTTCCTGCAAGTGTGACCTTGTGCAGCTTTGGTCGAACTGCCTGAACAGCAAGTCCTCTGTGGGTATGTGCAAACCGGAGTTTTACATCCGTTTATCTAACACGTGTAAACAATTTAATCTTTGAATTCTCTCTCTGGTACAAACGTTACGATAAAGCAGACATCAGTACAGGCTTGCTGAGAGTCTGTTGGCAGAAAAGGCTGCGGTTTGCTTTCTTTTCTCAGCTAGGTGGACTACAGTATTGAGACCTCCCAACATGTGTGTCAGGGGGACTCACGTCACATGCCCAGCGATTTGTGTCATGCTTGGAGTTGTGTTTACTCCACCCCAGCAGGTATTTGGAACCCTTATGTCAGAGAAGAGCCCTAGCTACGCACTCAGCAGCAGCCCCAGAAGGGCCAAGTGCATCAGAGGAATGAGCTTTGGAGTTATGTTCACATTAGAAGTGAATGCTGATTGGAGTCAGAGGTTGGATCTTAACTACACCTTTTAGTTTCCAAAGTACTGGACACTCGATGGTGTTTGGGAACTTGCTCAAAGGAATTAAGGAACTTGTTGTGACCTTAGGCAATTTACTTAACCTCTCTGAGCCTGAGTTTTCTCATTTGTAAACATAAGGTTATTACAGGAATTAGAAATCATTTATGAAAAGCATGACATAGTGGCATGATGCCAGTTATGTGAGGTACTTCAGAAATGGGAGCGGCTGTCATAATTGCTACCTTTTAAAAAAATAACATTATTTTTTCTGGCATAATTCTAGAAATTCCTACAAGATGAGATTCTTGTTTTCTTACCTTTTGAGAGATCATGACTTGATGTCTCCCTTTTCAGATATGTCATTCACAATTGGGCTTCTAAAAAGATTTTAAGTATCAGAGGCAATAAACTTATTAGCTATAATGGAGTGATTTACCATTATTCCATAGCTATTATTGTTTCTACCTCTTCCAGTTACCTCAGTTATTGTACTTGTAGAACTTCCCGTAGACTGTATTAATCACCTCATGGATATCTATGAAACAAGCATTCACAGAAGGATTGCTGAGCCCAATATCTGTGCTAGCTGTTGGGAATATAAATAAGAATACAGCTTGGTCTAGACCTGCTCACAGGCAAAGGAGAGGAAAGACTGTGAATGGAAATTCTCAACACCACATAGCAGAGTCCTAAGAGAGGAGCCAGCAGGTGCACTGGGAGCACAGAGAAGGGAGTACTGACCACTCAGAGGAGAAAGGCTGAGTACTACTGCAGTTTACACTTAAATGGTTATTTTTTTTAAAATTGCATTTTAGGTTTTGGGGTACATGTGCAGAACATGCAAGATAGTTGCATAGGTACACACGTGGCAGTGTGTTTTGCTGCCTTCCTCCCCTTCAACCACATTTGGCATTTCTCTCCATGCTATCCCTCCCCAGCTCCCCCCTGCTGCTGTCCCTCCCCTATTCCCCCCAGTAGACCCCAGTGTGTAGTGCTCCCTTCCCTGTGTCCATGTGTTCTCATTGTTCATCACCCGCCTATGAGTGAGAATATGCGGTATTTCATTTTCTGTTCTTGGGTCAGTTTGCTGAGAATGATGTTCTCCAGATTCATCCATGTCCCTACAAAGGACAGGAACTCATCATTTTTGATTGCTGCATAATATTCCATGGTGTATATGTGCCACGTTTTCCCAGTCCAATCTATCATCGATGGGCATTTGGGTTGGTTCCAGGTCTTTGCTATTGTAAACAGTGCTGCAATGAACATTCGTGTGCATGTGTCCTTATAGTAGAACGATTTATAGTCCTTTGGATATATACCCAGTAATGGGATTGCTGGGTCAAATGGAATTTCTATTTCTAGGTCCTTGAGGAATCGCCACACTGTCTTCCACAATGGTTGAACTAATTTACACTCCCACCAGCAGTGTAAAAATGTTCCTATTTCTCCACATCCTCTCCAGCATCTGTTGTCTCCAGATTTTTTAATGATTGCCATTCTAACTGGCGTGAGATGGTATCTCAATGTGGTTTTGATTTACATCTCTCTAATGACCAGTGATGATGAGCATTTTTTCATATGTTTGTTGGCCTCATATATGTCTTCTTTTGTAAAGTGTCTGTTCATATCCTTTGCCCATTTTTGAATGGGCTTGTTTGTTTTTTTCCTGTAAATCTGTTTGAGTTCTTTGTAAATTCTGGGTATCAGCCCTTTGTCAGATAGGTAAACTGCAAAATTTTTTTCCCATTCTGTTGGTTGCCGATTCACTCTAGTTACTGTTTCTTTTGCCGTGCAGAAGCTGTGGAGTTTGATTAGGTCCCATTTGTCTATTTTGGCTTTTGTTGCCAATGCTTTTGGTGTTTTGGTCATGAAGTTCTTGCCTACTCCTATGTCCTGAATGGTTTTGCCTAGATTTTCTTCTAGGGTTTTTATGGTGCCAGGTCTTATGTTTAAGTCTTTAATCCATCTGGAGTTAATTTTAGTGTAAGGTGTCAGGAAGGGGTCCAGTTTCTGTTTTCTACACATGGCTAGCCAGTTTTCCCAACACCATTTATTAAACAGGGAATCCTTTCCCCGTTGCTTGTTTTTGTCAGGTTTATCAAAGATTGTATGGTTGTAGATGTGTTGTGTTGCCTCCGATGCCTCTGTTCTGTTCCATTGGTTCTTGAAGGGTAAGTAGGAATTTGCTAAACAGAGAAGCTTGGAAAGGCTGTTGGGCAGCAGAGAGAACAGCTGCATGTTTTATGGAGCTGAAGAGCATGATGTATTTGTGGAATGGTGATCTGTTCATTGTGCTGGAAATACAAAACTCAGGAAGGAACTGCAGTAGGTGAGGCTGGAGCTAGCTGGTGAAGGACCTTGGGTTGTGATAAATAATTTGGATATATCCCCTAAGGCAATGGTGAGCGAAGGGACATTAGATTTCACCTGACTTTTATTTGATGTAAGTGATTTAAAGTAGGTAGAGTAAAACATAAGGACACATATAGCTAATAAGTTTATGTTGGAAGTTGCTGTCTGTTTTAGTGAGGGAAATGCAAGGAGTCTTTGAATGACTTATTGAGAGTCAGCGTAGAAGGTGGTTTTATGTTGAAAGATTCAGATTGTAATTGTTTGACATTTACTGTTCCTAGTACAGAAACTGCCCACTTTCATCTCCACAGGACTCTTTTATGACTTAGTTAAATTTTTCTGCTTCATAATCCTGAAATTTTCATGTCACTGAACTTTGCAAAGATGAGGTCCACACAAGAGAAAATGAATTGAGATACAGTTGTTCTTAGTTACTGTCTAGGTCCTTGCTAACCATCAACCCCTGCACCCCCCCACAGAAGTCTTTCTAATTTTCTTATCGCATATCTCCCTGATCTCCCATCTCCATCCCTTCATCTCCCCAGGGCCTCAGGCAGCATGTGTGGCGCTTGCACTGAAGATGGGACATTTCGTCAGTATGTGCACACAGCTTCCTCCCGGCGGGTGTGTGACTCCTCAGGTTACTGGACCCCAGAGGAGGCTGTGGGTAATGTACCATGATTTTTTTTTCTTTATACCCTGGTGACCACTGAGGATGGGGGTGGAGGTAAAGAGTGGAGTAGTGACATGGTGAGAAAAAGGCAGTGTGTGTGTGTGTGTGTGTGTTTTACTAGATATCTCCAGAAGCCTTGTAAAAACTGCCTGGTGTTGCTATGTGCAGAATGTCCCATATGTGCCTAATGTGGAGGCCCCGTGGCTGTGGTGAAGCAGAGATCAGCATGTAGGACAGGATAGAGAAGTCAGCTGAACTCAGGGTGTGACTTCAGGGTGAGATAGCTGGGGGGTACACCCCAGTGTTGCATGTGCCTACTGGTCCTTGGAGCAGCCATGCCATGTGACAGTGTAAGCCGACCTTACTCCTCTATATCAGGAGAGTAACAGAGAACACTAATGCACTAGCTGAGCGAGTCTGGGTGGGGGTGGGGGAACCAGGTGTTCCACACTGATCGTTCTTGTCTGTGCTATTTTATGAGTCTATTAATCACTGGTACTGGTTGTGCTTTGGATATGATCTGAGCTAGGCTCCAGGACAGAAAATGTGTTTTGCTATCTCTTTTTCTGTACCTCCCCTAACTTTTCAAACAGTCGCACATTCACTCACGTGTATATTAACGCCCCTAAGATAAATTACAGCATGAATCTTTTCCCAGTTCGAGTCAGAAAACTGTTGACAGGATTTTAGCACCTCCTGATGAATGGCTTGACTTCTTCTATCACCATCTTTAATGTTCACCTAATCATCATCTTTTTTCTTTGCCTTTAAAATGTTTATTAAGACACTAAAAACAAATAAGATGTGTTGGACAAAGTCCTATTTGAATTAATCTGCAGTCTTGATAGTGACAAGAAAATAAAGGAGGACATTGGTCTAAGAGTCTACAGTATCTGCAAGATATCATCCTGGATTCCTCGTCAGTCAAGTGACAGGGCTTCAGGGATAAATCTGGAAGGAGACAATTTACTTGATTTATTGTACATGACTTTTTTCCAATGAGAATTTTCAGGGAAGAATGGAAAGTGAGTGTAAAATTTACTGCATTGGACTCTAAATAGAGATTCACATTTCATAAAGGGCCATTCCGTGTGTGTGTGTGTGTGTGTGTGTGTGTGTGTGTGTGTGTGTGTGTGTGCGTGGCAAACAGTTTGTCCTGTGCTGATATTTTAATGCCTGTTTGATTCCCTCGCCCTGTACTTTTTACTTTTTTAATTCTACAGGTTTCCCCACTCCTAGAATTTTCTGATAGAGGTAGTTATCTGATAGAGGTAAAAGGAATGAGAAATTCTAGGTTCTAATTCTTGTATTGGGTCTTGAGGCAAACCAAGTCAACTTTTGGGTTTCCACTTCATGCTTTAACATGAAGTCATAATAAAAAACTTTTTATCTGGCAGTACTGCCATCAGGTTGGTTTCCAAGGGCCTTTATTCTGCTGGTATTTTGGGCTTAGAGTAGTGTTCAGGACTACTAACATTGTACTTCACTAGCATTAATTCATGAGTGATTAATAAACTAAGTATATATGATTAATAAGAAATACTGGTCTTCCTTTGCTTTGAAAGGGTGAAGGACCAGGTCATCATATTTAAGATATACACCATAAAAGTAATTGAATCTCTAGCAGAGCAGGTACAAACACATGTATTTATAAATATGTTCAAAATGCATTTAATGACATTTAATGAACACTGCTCGACCACCAACTATTTTCTAAATGCTGTGGGAGTTAGAAAACTAAGCCAGACATATTCCCCCATCAGACATCATCTTCATGGTGAGAACTTTCTGGCTTCATAATCTAAAACAGCTCCCAGCCTCACCTCATAATTCTGTATTCCCTTATATTCCTCTGCTTGTCTTCATAGATTTCATTACTACTTAATAATATATTTTGTATCCCTTTATACATTTATTGTTGCATTATCACTGTCTTATAAGGTATAGAAAGGCAAGACTTTCATCCCTCTTGTTCACTCCTCTATTTCTAATACCTAGATTAGTTCTTGAAATAAAAGAGGCACACAGCTGGGTACAGTGGCTCACGCCTGTAATCCCAGCACTTTGGGAGGCCAAGGCAGGTGGATCACAAGGTCAAGAGATCGAGACCATCCTGGTCAACATGGTGAAACCCTGTCTCTACTAAAAGTACAAAATATTAGCTGGGCATGGTGGCTCATGCCTGTAATCCCAGCTACTCAGGAGGCTAAGGCAGGAGAATTGCCTGAACCCAGGAGGCGGAGGTTGCGGTGAGCCGAGATCGCGCCATTGCACTCCAGCCTGGGTAACAAGAGTGAAACTCCGTCTCAAAAAAAAAAAAAAGAAGCACACAATCAATTTTTGTTGAATGAATGAATCAACTCACAATGTAGGCAAAAAGCAATAGAAACTGTAAGATGTTAACATACCAAACACACACACAGTTGCACACACATATTTCTGGAATTAATAAAATGTGTGTATATTTCCTGACTGCAGTCTTCCTGCAGCTGCCTCCCTGCTCACACATACCTGAACTGAAAGGGAAATAAATTTCAATGTTTGAACTGGTTTTCTCTGGGCTTTGGGACATAATTTATTTTCTAAATTTTGAAGGGCTAAATACTTCTACTTTGGTAAATGTAGATATTTAATTTATCTAGAACATTGCATGTCTACACTGCCCTTGTAAGGTAGGGGTTAAACATTATCACTTATTTTCTATAAGAGGAAACTGAGGTATAGAAAGATGTGTCACAGCTACTCAGCTAAGGGTGCAGGAGGGCTGACTCTGCTGATTCCTGATTCAACACTCTCTCTTCAACTCCCCTCATATGACAGAAAAGAAAACCATCTTGGGTAGATTATTTCCGTGAAGCTGACTTTCATAGATTCGTGATATCTGATTGTTCATCATTACATCTTAATTTGGCAACTGAATCTTCATTTTTTGTTCACTCCATAATATATGTTTATATTTCCTGCCTGCAGTTCCCTACCTGCTCACACATGCCCAAACTGAAAGGGAAATTTCAATATATGGTTTTAAAGTTTGTCTGTAAGTTGAAAGGATTGCCAGGGTGGAATCTTAGGGAATGAAAGTTTTGTGAAGAGCACTACAAATATTTCAGTGACAGTGAAATCATTGGTCTTCAGAAGCATTAATTTATATTAAGTTATGAATGGGCTAAGCACATGTAATTCTCTGTTCGAGGATTCTTTAAGAACATGACTTCTCTGCATCAGCCTCATGTTTCCTCCTAGGATCTAGGTGTCCCCTTCCCAATTCCTGGCAGGTTTCCTCTTGCTAAAAGCACCATGTACAAGGTTGGGGTAACAAGAGCATAATGCTTTTTACTTTTTTGTTCTTAAAAGGTACTTAAAATCTAACTAGTACTTAAAATCTAACTTGCTAAAATGACCAACATCTGTAGGAATTCTAAAAGTTCTCTCTGTAGGGAGAAGAACCTACAGAGGAACCTGTAAGAGGTCCTATAAGAGGAAACTCTTTCTGGCTGCTAAGGGCTACTCATTTTCTGACTTTTAATGGCTGCTACTGATGTATCTTTCTGCTCATCTCCCCCAGGTCCTCCTGATGTGGATCAGCCCTGCGAGCCCAGCTTGCAGACATGGAGCCCTGAGGTCCACCTGTACCACATGAACATGACGGTCCCCTGCCCCACAGAAGGCTGTAGCCTGGAGCTGCTCTTCCAACACCCAGTCCAAGCTGACACTCTCACCCTGTGGGTCACTTCCTTCATCATGGACTCCTCTGAAGTCCTCTTTGACACAGAGATCTTGCTAGAAAACAATGAGTCTGTGCACCTGGGCCCCTTAGACACTTTCTGTGACATCCCACTCACCATCAATCTGCACATGGACGGGAAGGTCTCGGGAGTGAAAGTCTACACCTTTGATGAGCGGATAGAGATTGATGCAGCGCTCCTGACTTCTAAGCCCCACAGTCCCTTGTGCTCTGGCTGCAGGCCTGTGAGGTACCAGGTTCTCCGCGATCCCCCATTTGCCAGTGGTTTGCCCATGGTGGTGACACATCTTCACAGGAAGTTCACAGACATGTGAGTTTGGTAGCATGACTATGGGGCTTCCTTGGGCTCTGGGGTGTTTTTTTTTTTAACTTTGCCCCTACTTTTTAATATTCAGCCATGCCCCTAAGTTGGAGGAAAGTTTAGACTCTCAGAGGGGATTTTACTGTAAAGTGGCATGTCTGAGGTAAAGAAAAACACTTCCCAGAAAGGGACAAGCAGGTGTCTGATTGCTGATGCCATCATCATGATTATGGATGAAAGAGTGTACGAGATGTTTCAGTTGGACTGAGCATAATTGCCACAAATAAGTTGAACAGAATCAGATACATCTATCTGGTGACAATTTGATTTCTGGTTCTTTGCTTTAGCTGTCTGATCATCTGCCACGGACCCCATAACATTTGGAAGTTATAGTCAATTCTTCGATTGCTAGGCAAAGAAGCCAAGGCCCAGCAGATGAGAAGATACACTCAGGTCCACGACTCATGATATGTGTTTCATTCTTTCCCCTTCTTTCATTTCCCCCCTGCACCCAACCGACTCTTTTATCTTTCTCTTCCAGCTCTCCTCTTTCCCTTAGTTCTGTCTTCTCTTCCAGCTCTCCTCTTTCCCTTAGTTCTGTCTTATCTTCCTTCCTTCTCTTCTGTCTTCTCTTCCTACATAGTGCCGGGCTATGTTCCTGGCACTGCATGCTCAGTGCTGGGGGCACAGACCAAGGCGAGGTCCTTACCTACAAAGAACTCAGTTTCTGAAGAAGGAGGCTGGTAACTCCAAAGGCAAATTTTCTTGACCTCATAATCTTATTTGGAGACTACCCTGAGGGCAAAACTTGGGCAAAACAAAGTTTTATCAGAGATGCTGTCAGTTTTTGCTGCATTAGAAATCATCACAAAATGCAGTGGGTTAAAACAACAAACATTATTTCTCATGGTTATATGGGTGGGTTGGGTGTTCTCATCTAGACTAACTTGGCTGGAGCTAGATGGCCTAGGATGACCTCACGCACAGCTGAGACAGCTGCCATGGCTGGAGAGATGAGGGCCTTTTCCCTCATGGTCTCTCAAGGCCTGCCTGGCCTTGGCTTCTTCTCATAATGGTGGAAGGGTTTCCAGCAGCAGGGAGGGCTAGCCCCCAAATGCTTATACTTTTCAAATCTTTGCTTTATGTTATTCATGATAATGTTCCACTAGCCAAAGGAAGTCACACAGCCATTTTAGATTCAAGGGGTAGCAAAGGAAACCCTCCCTTTTGAAGAGAGGCAGCAAAGTCACATCATAGAGGGGTGCATCTGAGACGGGGTAGTCATTTGGCAGTCTACCATAGCTACAAAAAAAGTGGAGAAAAATGTCCACCTTGAGCTTCATTACATTTTTCTTCCCATATTTGCTCTACTAATTAGAAGACAGTGAAATCACCAAAAAGCTAATGCAAATGCAAAGGTAGATTTAAAAAGAAAAAGAAAAAAATGTCATTTTAAACTTCTTAAATAAGGCAGTTAGGAAGACATTTGCTATCTAATTTGCTGCACACACACACACACATGCTTAAGGCCAATAATATTTCATAGATGAAAAATCTGAGACTTAACTTTGATTTGGTTCAATAGCTAAATAGCAGACTCAGAATCAAAATTCAATTTTTCAACTGGATCTCATTTTGATTCTCTTGCTTCAGTAACACTCTGCCTTTCACAAACTCAGATCCTGGAAGACTTGGGCTACCTGCTGCCGAATTTTTCCTCAAGAGAAGTAAACACATGCTGATGTTTCCATCTATTCCTTTACCAGCCACAGAAAAGTGTGCAGCTTCTATGCATGGCCGGACAAGCAGTCTGACGGAAACCATCCTGTAAAGGAAATCTGTCAGCATTGATTAGGATGGAAAATTGGTTTTTCTTTAGAAATATCTGGCATTCCCACAAGAGGTTTGCTTCCCCAGCGGATGTGGGGGTAACTAATTTGGAAATTGAAAATACTTTAATATCTAGGTTTCTTTTCAACTAAAATACTTAAAAGCCAGCACAGAGGTTTTCAAAGGTGTTTTGGAAACCCTGAGACATTTCCTGGTTGCTGGTTGCTGCATCGACTGAGGGAGTGGAGCTTTGTGGGTGAGTTGAGAAATCTGTTGAAGAGACAACCATGGCAGAGTATTTATGGCAGCCACTCACAGTAGTCCCAACAACTGAGATCCTGTTTCACTAACTAACTCGCATTCTAGCTTGACTTTGGTGGTAGTTTTCCAACTAGGCTAAGAACTGGGCAAAATTAAGATGAAGACAGAGTTTGTCTTTGGGACCAGAAGCTCCCTTTCTTGAGCCCATCTCCCCTTCTAAGTGTCCTGCCTTTCATACCACACAATCAGTGCACCCAGGCTCTAGAGAGAATCTGACAAGCTCCTTGCATCTCTAGGGTCAATTGATAAAACTCTATTCCTGATACCTACACACTTTAGTAGGTTTGGAGGTGGGGAGTTGTTTAATGCATTTCTCATTGTGGAACTTCTTGCATCCTCCAAATTGTGACAAAAGGTGTTCCTACCTTCTTTTATGAGGCAGTTGATCTTACTCCTAAGGATTCAGTCTCATCAACACAAGAATTCTCTTGAGAGAAACCTATGATAGCAGACCCAAGAAGGGGGCTTTCCTGAGCCCAGAATCTGAAGCTTTCATCTCCAGTTTCTTTGATTATTTGATGATACAGAAGACTGGTTTTTAAATTTGTGTGTATGTGTATGTGTGTTAACATGGTAAAAATGCGCTTGAAATACTATCCTCATAGATTAACTAGGACTGTTAAGTTCATTGTTAACACAGCAAGCATTTACTGCACATTTACTCTGTGCAATGCACAGATACAGAAATAAATATGGGTTCAAACCTTCTGGCGCTCAGTAAGACTGTGCCCTGAGCCTTGTTTTAGACAATGCAGCATATGTTTAACCTTTATGTTTCCCATGTTATTTCCCTTCAACTTCTGCAAATCATCAACGAAGGACTCAGGGCATGCCTCACTTTGTGGCTGTAGTGGTTACAAATCCTTTGGTGTCCACAGGGAAGTCACACCTGGGCAGATGTATCAGTACCAAGTTCTAGCCGAAGCTGGAGGAGAACTGGGAGAAGCTTCACCTCCTCTGAACCACATCCACGGAGCTCCTTATTGTGGAGATGGGAAGGTGTCAGAGTGAGTATTGTGTGTGTGTGTGTGTGTGTGTGTGTGTGTGTGTGTGTGTGCGCATGTGTGACCAGGAACATTGTGCTCTGAACAGAAGTTTCAGGAGTTTGTCTTGTTTTGGAAATGTAGGAAATAAGGCATCATTTGATTCTAGTGTTGAAATTCTAAAATCTGGGACTTGGTTGTGTCAGGTCTTGATATCTGGCATCTCTACATAGTTACAGAGGGACCCACTTTTACTTATTGCTAGCCCCAGAGTATAGAGGTATTGAGGCTGATTCTCTGGGGGCCCTTTTTTGGCCTCAGCAAGTAACTACTGGATAGTGATTCAGGAAAGAAATTTATGCAGAAGAAGGCTACTCATCAAACGATGCCAAAAGAGGATCTCTTTTGAACACATGGCCTATTCTACTAACTAGTTGTGTGATCTGAGGAAATTTAGTACAGCTTTCAGATCTACAGTTTCTCATGTAACCCTTAGTAGAACCGATACCAGTATGATTTCCAGCTATTCTGTAAGCATCACCGAGGTAGAAATGGAATCACCCTTTCTGATTTTAACATCCCATGTTACTTTTCCCATTGCCCTTTTGTAATAGTAACATAGAGGACTAATTAATTCATTCTGGTTTACCTTCGACTTTCCCAGTTTTAGTACTAAGAACACCAAGTCCCAGGAAATCCTGGACAGTTGATTGTCCTACATCAACCTAAACTTAATGCTCATCTAGCCTTATTTGTTAATTATATAAAGCTGCTGGGATGAGGAGACTGGAAGCCAGACACTGTGATTTATCTTTTATTTTGCATCCTAATAAGATGGGTTATTTTTAATTTCTTAGACCAGGTGAAAATATATTGTATCTTGAAGCCCTAATGGGAATCAATTCTGTAGCCTTTCTTTGGATTCTGTCCCATCATTTAGCAGTCATAAACATTGTTTATGTCCCCAGTCTTCTAAGATCCTGAAACTATAGTAAGTCTAATCCTCGTCATAGAAGTATAAACCCTAAAATGTTTACAGCCCTCCATAATATGTGGAAGCCATTGAGGTCACCTCAATCTTGCTCATGTGCTGTCCCTTGCTGCCTAACTCAGCCTCAGCCTGCCACCATCCCTCCTTCATTTCAAATCATATTTCTCCCTGGGATTTCTCACATTGCAGAGGACAAGTCCACTTGCTACTGTTGTTGTTTTCTCTGTTTTGGTTGCTTCATTTTAAACCTGCAGCCCACCAGTTAATGTAGACTGCATGTGAAACACTCTGCCCCCTGCCCTAGTGTCTTCCAAGGCAGCTGTCTGATTGTGGCCACCCTGCAGACCAGGGTACCATTTCTGCCTGGAGGATGCAGGGCTGAAAAGGGTGGAAGGCTTTTTTCCTACCTTGATGTTGCACTGCTTGGCTACTGGGTCTCACATTGTTTCTTGAAACTCATGCCTGTGTTTTCTTCTCTGCATAACTAGCACTTCCATCCAACGGGAAGGTATGTCCGAACTCCAAATCTGGCTTATCAGAAGGCCCCACATTACACATAAAATGAGAAAGAGCCATACCAATCATTCGATCACTTGGATATCACTTGTCAGTAGAACCATCAAAACAAAGTACAATGCCGGGCCCTGAAATTATAAACAGTATTCATACAGAAGTTAATTAATTTGTAGGAGCCACCAACCATAGGTGACACTTTTTGCCTTTGAAATATGGTAAATGCAGCTAAAAAACGGAATTCTTCATTGTATATAATTTTAAGTAATTTATATTTAGTTTAAAAGACAAAACTCAATTTGGTTATTGGAAAATCTTCAAGTATATTTGGAACTACTTGGGCAGGTAAATCTGCTTCAACTATAAATTTCATAAAATCTAAATACAGATAAAATAGTTGAATTCAGATGTGTTGTAAGTGAAAAATACTATGTTTCATGGACAGTATGCAAAAATAATGTAACATGCCTCATTTTATACAATTGTACATTGAAATAGTGTTTTGAATATCTTGGCTTAGATAAAACATATTATTAAAACTAATTTTACTGGATTCTTTTTACTTTTTTTTTTTTTTTTTTGAGACGGAGTTTCACTCTTGTTACCCAGGCTGGAGTGCAATGACACGATCTCGGCTCACCGCAACCTCCTCCTCCTGGGTTCAGGCAATTCTCCTGCCTCAGCCTCCTGAGTAGCTGAGATTACAGGCACGTGCCACCATGCCCAGCTAATTTTTTTGTATTTTTAGTAGAGATGGGGTTTCACCATGTTGACCAGGATGGTCTTGATCTCTTGATCTCGTGATCCACCTGCCTCGGCCTCCCAAAGTGCTGGGATTACAGGCGTGAGCCACTGTGCCCAGCCTATTTTTACTTTTTAAATGAATTCTAGAAAAATATGAAATGTGGCTTTCATTACATTTCTGTTGGGCAGCATGACACAAGATGATACACAGTATGATTATATCGATAGTTTAGATTATCTTCAAAATTAAAATGTAATATTGCTGACCTCCAAGATTATTCCTAGACCCCTTGTAGAAAAACACAGATGAAGGTTATTTCTCTATAAACAAGCACATTAAGGCATAAAGTATTTAGAGACTTCTTGGATATAGCACACATTTAATTAGGTCCCCAGTGCAGTCCCTTTTCATTGAACCTCATTACATTTATGTAAAAAATGATTTGAAGTTTCCTTAATTTTTTCCATTAGGTCATTTTTCTATCTCTTTTAACCTTTCTCCATTTCCAATTGGCCATTTAAAGTGTGATTACTATATCACTGTATTCATAGCATATATTCCATTCATTTTAAACCATTCTCATTTATGATTATTTAATCTTTCATCCTTGTGAGATATACTTCAAACAATAGATTAGAGCTATTTGTGATGTCCAGGATCTGAAAACACTTTAACATTCCAAATCCTTTCTCTACTGAGTTAAAATATGTGTCCATTTTGGGCATTAAAAAAAAAATCAAGGAGAAAAAATGGTAACCCTCATCCATTTTGCAATAGCCAAATGTTGGTTCTTTTATAGGAGCATCAACCCAAACTTATATATTTTATTTACATAAATTGCTCATGTCCCTTTCACTATAAACTAACTGCCTCACCTCAATTTAAATGTCGTCGGTTGTATTTGCATTTGAGGTTGGAAACAAAAACATTTTTCTCTTAACATGTTTCTTCCCTGCAATATATGATGGCTGTCACCAGGTGGTAGTAGGGAGTAAAGACAGGGCCCTAAGACCTAGAGATGCCCTAGACTAGAGACCAGTGAGGCTGCTTAAATCTCTGGGTTTATAAATAGGAGATTCATTACTAGAAAATCCTAATTTTCATAACCACTGCACCTTTATATAACAAAACAATGAAAGCATAAAGAAATATTATATAAAAAATAAATAGAAAATGAAACCACACAGACAGGCAGGCTTTCTTCTTACCATCATTAGCTATTTTAAGCTTTTATTCGTTACAGGGCTGGCAGGGCTTTTCTAAGCTTAAGACCCTCTTTCAGAAACACTGTCAGGACTCTGATGGATCTCCTAGATGCTTCAGAGACATGAGCTACTTGACTTCCAGGAATTCCCACAACCCACTGGACATGCCAGTCAACAGTCATTGCTTAAATTGTATATACTTTAAATATCCACATGTTTGTTTCTATTTTCTGTAAAAACATTATTCTAGCTCCTACTTTTTTCCAACTTGCACTTTTTAATATATGCTGAGAAATTGTAAGAATTTTAAATGATGATAAACAAGAAAAATTATTGTATGTATTATATATGCATGTACATTTTACTTTCAGAAGCCTGGGAGAAGAGTGTGATGATGGAGACCTCATGAATGGAGATGGCTGCTCCAAGGCGTGTAAGCTGGAGGAAGGTTTCAACTGTGTAGGTAGGTTCAGGAGTTCCAGTGTAAGATTGTATCCTACTTTTACAGGTGTATTATTTTGTGAGTTCTTGATATCCTGAACATCTTGCTTAGTGATATTAATTTTTGATATGTCCCTTTTATGCCAGGCATGATTTATTTCACAGGTATTTTCTCATTCAATCCTTAGAATAACTACGGGGAAACCAAAGTGAGGCACAGAACTTAAATAAGTTGATTTCATTTATGCAGCTAGAAGTGGTAAAGTTAGCATTTGAGCTAAGGAAGTCCAGCTCTAGAATCTGCATGTTAAACTATTATGTTATACTGCTTCCTAGTTAACGTTACCAAGGATTTCTCTTGGGTCCTCCAGGGTAACGCCAATATATCAGGTAAGTGGCACAATCATATGGACTCTACATACAAATTAGGGTAAGGAAACATTCTAAGTCAAAGTGAGTGTAAGACATCTTTTGGTGACTGTTTAATATATTCTATCATGAAGAATAACAGAGGATCCTAACATATTTTAGCCTTGGAGAATCACTGGTAATAAATTTTAACTTTGATTCTAGAGTATAAGGTGCTTTTTACTCTAGACTCTTGCCACTCCAGGAAGGCAGTCTACAACACTTTTCCAGTTCCGATTAAAGCGATCATCAACAGGTTTCTTAGATGAAGATTACTTTCCATTGCCATCTACATACATTGCAATGATTTGGTGGAGCATAACCACACATTGAAGTTATTTTAAATAGCAGTGCATTTAAAAATATTTTAATGTCTTGAATCTTAAGATAAAGTAGAATGTGACTGTAATTATGTATAATTTATTAAAGTGTTAAGTACTGTAAGGAATATACAAATGTCCCTGCTCTCCAGAGCCAGACATGAATCATAGAATGTTGGTGGTCCTCCCTCCATAAATTCACCCATCCATTCATTTGAAAAAGGCCCATGTGTACCATGTGTTCAGCGGTACAATGTATTCTTTGTTATGTGCCATGGGTCTGATAGAGTCCCTGATCCTTTCATGAGTACAAATTTAGCAGTGACTTAGAGTACAGTTCCTCTATCTTACAGAAATCCCTCCTACCAAAGCATGAGAGATGAGTTTCTAGCTTCTGCTTACATAATTCTAGCAGTGAAGAATGCACCATGAAACAGACCATTCTGTTTACAAATGGCCTTATCTGTTGTAAATTTTTTTCCTTTTTTCCAGTTTGGAAACTGAGGCTCAGAACACTTTAGTGACTCATCTAAGGGCATACAATGAAATCTTTGCAGAGCCACCCCTGGAATTCACTTTCCTCATGCTTAATCAAGTGCATTTTCCTTGCTATGAAACTACAGAGAATATATACAGAAGATTTTTTTTCTGTTTTATTTGACTACTATTCAGATATTTGAAATAACTCCCCATTATTCTCCTTTCCAATCCAAACATCCCCTCATGTGATTAGGTTTCCAGACCCTTTCTTATTTATCCCAAACTGGCATGCTTCATGTGGTCAGTGCCCAGAAGGGAATCCAATACTCCAGATGTGGTCTGGCTCTGCAGAATACACCAACCGATTACCTCCCTCTTCTGTACACAAGTATTTGTTAACACAACCTCTGTTAGCATTATTTCTTTTTGGTAGCCACATAGTGGTCTCATATTAAATACAATATATATTCTCCAAACACTGAACTTCCCTCAGTACAGCTCAAGTCTTATTTAACTTAATTAAGCAGACCTTGTTTTGTGTCTATCACATTTGATCTCATAAAGTTTGGCTATTTCCTTCAACCCCAGTAAGACTATATTTAAGTTGTTTATATTTAAATACTATACTTAAGATTATATTTAAATTATTTACAGGGTAAGGTTAAATGATATATTCCAGCATTTGCCATTTTTTTCAGTGAGTCATAAGTTCATCATATGCTAAGCACATAGTTATATCCTATCATTTCTCAAAAGATCAGGTTTGAAGGAACCATTGTAAAATATATTTTTTAAGTATTTGGCTATTTTCAGATGAATTTGAAAGAAACTCAGACAAAAATTTTAAGTCTTGTGCTCGAAAGAATAAAGACAAGAAGTAAGAAGTAGTTACTGGCTTATAAGTAGAAAAACAGAACGGGAGAAAACTATATGTACGCATAAAGAGAGAGAGAAAGAGAAAGATGGAGAGAAAGAGAGAGGGAGAGAGAGACTGAGAGATTGAGAAATCTCATGGGAAAGTCATTCCAAAAGCACATACATTGACTTGGAGAGAATGTTGAGTAAGTTTGATGAAATGCAGGAGTTGAAAGCCCAAAATAGATTTTCAACCAAGTCCTGTGGACAGTGGCTTATATCTGACAAGTAGAGATAGATTTACCACAGAAGCCTCTTAAAGGAAATTGTTAAGAGAATAATTAGTAACTGTATGTTGATGGACAGCTGACAAATTACTGGAATAGCCCTGTGGCGGCGGTATGAAGAATTTAGCATAAACAAGGAAATAGTAACAGTAAACGTTAGTCATGGTCTTATTGAATACATAGATAGGTGTTGTTATTTTAACTCTTAATCTTACTTTCATCTCCTGTGTTTTTAAGTAGAAAATGGAAATTTGAATCGTGTCATTAATATTAATTGTCTTATATTTTGGTTAAAAAATGCAACAGAACTTAAATGGCTTTGTGTTTCTCAGCTATCTACATTTCAAGGAAGGGTATCTATGTATCTATAAAGAGCCAATGCCATTCTCTTACTAGGAGTTATCGTATCAGCAAGAACAGAACTTGTCTAGTGCATATCAGCTGGTTTTACAACCTCAATATATTTTCTCAGATATTTATTTCTCACCTGTTTGCTTTTGAAGACAGCCCTTCTGTCTTAGATTGAGGCAGTATGGAGTAATAGCTGCTGAACCTGCATTCTGGTTCTTGGATTTAACCTTGATACAAATTCATGCTCTATTACTTATCATTCAAGAGTCCTTTACAAAATTGCATAAAATCATTGAGACTCAGGCTTCCTGTCATAAAAGAAAAAAAAAAACACCTCACAGGATTATCCTAAGACTAAAAAAAAATAATATATATGTAACCCTTATAAACCTGGAGCCTATATTGTCCAATTTAAGAGCAGTTTTGCAGTTGAAGAAACATAATTAAGCAAAAAGTGATTGAGAACAACCTCCTCTAATACTTTAATATTTCAAAAACTATCAAAAAGATTCAAAGGTATAATACATCACAGCATTTATTTGGAGTCGCTTTCTTCTTTTACCTACCTATCTTATATCTCTAGTTTCTCCTAAATATCTTACTCAACTATTACTTAAAATTTCTTTCCACACCCAGCATACAGCTGCTTTATTTCTTCCTGTTCTTTCTCCTCTAATCCCAACCCTTTTTGCACTTTTATCATGTAGGTGGATTCTACCTGTCTCCCAATGAGAAAGAATCCTTCTTCTTTAGGGATATGTGGGGTGTATGTATGTGTATTTGTGTGTTTGAAGTAGGCATTAGACTGGCAGACAATGCAGAGTTCTCTTTGGTGGGCTGGAGAAGAAGTGTTGTGGACATTCCCATGTTCATTTTTTTTCATGACGTATGAAAACACTCTTTCTGTGTCATACAATATTTCTTGGCAGGAGAGCCAAGCCTTTGCTACATGTATAAGGGAGATGGTGTATGTGAACCTTTTGAGAGAAGAACCAGCATTGTAGACTGTGGCGTCTACACTCCCAAAGGATACTTGGATCAGTGGGCTGCCCAGGCTTACTCCTCTTACGAAGACAAGGAGAAGTGTCCTGTTTACTTGGTAACTGGAGAACCTCATTCCCTGGTAAGTTCAGCCAGCTGAATAGAGTCAAGGCTGCACAAAATTGGAAAATGACTCCCCTATGCTTACACTTGGGCTCTGTGTTTGGATAATTTTATTTTAAAAGAAGGAAAAGAAGAAGTGAGGAGTTAGAAGGCCTAGGCAACATTACTGGATCTGCCAGCATTGCTATTATAATTACATGACGTTGGACAAGTCACTTTACCTCTCCGGGTCCCAATTTTCTCACATGGAAAATGGGTATAGTAACACATTTTGCGCTGTTCAGTGGTTTGTTACAATGATCGAATGAGCTTTCAAATATGTATTAGAGATCAAAGTATAACTTGATTTTTAAAAGTTTTATTATTGAAGAAACCCTAGAGTTTTTGCTAGAAGTAAATCCTTGGGCGTATAATTTTTTCTGATTATCCACCTAAATAGATAGGAGATCCATCGACAGATCTACAATGCTATACCAATGACATCTATGAGATACAGTTGAAGACTGAAAAGAAGGTTAAAGGCTCATGACTCTTGGGAATCATTCTAGATACTTCAATAGTATCTAGAAAATAAACTCTTCCATTTATTAGAATAGGCAATACAGTGCTTTCACAGAAGTGAGATTTAGCCCTCTAGGTAATTTAGGCCAGAATGAAAGACGAGGATTGTATACTTGAGAAGACATCTTTGAAGAGATTGAGGAGCAAGCTAAGGTGGTGCTGCAGCTCAAGGATTTCATCCAGGGTCTTCTAGATTCCAGCTCTTTCATGCTTGGACACAGCCTTCTTCCTCCTGCTCAAAACATGGCTGCAGTTCTCCTAGGCATGAAGTCAGCATTTCAAGGAAGGAGGGGGCAGGCCAAAGGGAAATAGATGCATGCCAGCTGAGTCTTTCTCTTTTTATTGGGGTAGTGATAGCTTTTCTGGAAGTTCAACACTGTAAACTTCCACCCACCTCTTACTGGTCAGATCCAGGCCACTCATCACCTTTAGCTGTAAGGAACCCTGAGGAGATGAGCAGTTATAACCAGATACACTGTCACCTTGAACAGAATTGGAGTTTGTTAATAAAAAAAAGTAAGGGCAAAATAGATCCTGGTTGGCAACTAGCCATTGCTGCCACACTCTCTCAGCCTAATTCTGGCATCTTTCTCCTTCAAGTCCTGGCATCCGATGACAGAATCCAGGGAAGTTGGGAGATTCTGAGGTAATGACCGCTCTCTGAAGTGGCTTTTGGTCTAGGCTGTCTGTCTTCCCTAAGTGAAGTGGGAGAAATTTCCTGGAGTTTTACTTCTCTGGCTCCTTTACTTACATGAATCCTCAGTGGTTCCCCACCTCAGTAGCCTCACTTTTGGGGCCAGTAGATGCTGCCCGGTAAGGGCTTCATCATCACCCAGACAGACTTCCCTGGCTGTTCCTTGGGGCAGTTACCTGAAATATGCCAGGACTATTTGTAACCACCCAGTGGGCAAGACCCCTGGGCTAATGATAAGCTGAGAGATGTGTATGTTTTTCTGCCCTGGCAAGTTAGATCTTGATGTTAAAGAGAGCTGAGAAATTCTTCAAGGTTGAGAAAAGTTTCCTGCCAATAATGTGATTATTAGGCATTCAGAAAGAGAGAAAGCCTCTGCTTTGAGCTGGAGAGTTTCATTGTCTTTACTTGTCTCTTCACACTCCATTCTTCAAATTGTTGGTTGAAATTGTATTTCAGATTTGCAAATCATACCATCCAGATTTACCCAGCTACCGTCCCCTAACTGGCTGGTTTCCCTGTGTTGCTAGTGAAAAGGAAACTCAGGATGACAGGAATGAGCAGCCAGAAGGCAGCCTGAAGAGAGAGGGTGAGGTCTGGCTCAAGGTAAGTGGGTCAAATGCATTTGGGTGACTTGTCATAAAATCTTCTTTTGTCATCTCAAGGTGTTTATATTTTGAGTTTATTTTCACCTCTCTGAATTGTGGACTTCTTTCTATTAATAGATGAGTAATCAGTTTATCAAAGTGCAACATACACACAGAAAAGTGCAAAAATCAAAAATGCACTTGTCGCAATGCAGTGAATTGTCGCAAAGTGAACTTCCTTTCTAATCACAACATAGATCAAAAGATAGCACATTCACATCACCACCCCCCAAAAGGCTCTCTCATGTCCCCTCTTAGTTATTACACCACTGAGGTAGATACTATTTTTATTTCTATCATCATAGATTAGTTTTGTCTGTTGTTAAAATTTGTGTGAAAACACTTTACAGTATGTACTCTTTGCTACTGATTCTTTCTTATTTGGCATTATATTTGTGGGATTCATTCATGCGCCTTCACTAGTGTTCATTTGCATTGTGGTATAAGCACTGCAGTGTATGAATATACCACCATATATTTAACCATTCTAATATTGATGAATATTTGGATTATTTGTTTTTTTTTTCTGTTATGCTATTATAAGTCATTGTGCTATAAGCATTTCTGTACATTTTTGTGGTGAATGTGTATCAACAGATGGGTATATTTGGAACTGCCACATTGCAAGTAGGCCAGCTTTGGTAAATAATCCCAAATAATTTTCCACAGTGGTTGTACTAATTTATACTCGCACCAGATGTTTTGAGTGTTTCAAATGCTTCACATTTTCATCAATATTTGGTATTTTAAGTCTCCATTTCAATGCTTTGTGGGATATGTAAAGGTATTGCCCTGTGGTTTCAGTTTGCCTTTGTGTGATGACTAATGACATTGGGAGTCTTTCAAATGTATGTCAGATAGTCATACATACTTTTTAAGGACATAGTCAAGTCTTTTGCTCAATTTTCCATTGAGTTTTCTGCCATTTTCTTCATAATTTATATTATTTCATTATAATTGTATACATGTAAATTTTTTTCAGTAATATGCTCTTTCATATCTTCAGCCAACACTATGGCTAATTTCTTGCCTTAAACACATCTTTAGATGAATTGAAGTATTGAAGTTCTATTCTTTTTTTTTTTAAGAGACAGGGTTTTACTCTGTTTTCCAGGCTAGAATGCAATGGTGCCATCATCGCTTACTATAGCCTTGAACTCTTGGGCTCAAGAGAGCCTCTCACCTCCCAAGTAGCTAGGACACCAGTTGCTTGCCACTACACCCAACTAATTTTTAAATTGTACCTAGATATGGAGTCTAGAAAAGGCACCAACTCCTGCCAGTATCTAACATCAAACTCAAGTTAACCAAATTGTTGTCTTTAAACCTGGGCAAAGGAAATAATCAAAATAAACCACTTTCATGATACACAGGGGCAAGCTTGTATTTATTTAATAATTTTGCCTTTACCTAAATTAATATAATTTATTATATTCCTTTATACCAAATAATTTAAATGTTTAGCTACCTGTGAACTTCCTTTCCTGTCATTTTAAAAATTAGGCTGGGCTTAGGACATTTTTGTTTAAAACATTGCTAACTCTTTATGTTTTATTTTGCCTCCAAAATGTAAAATTGTTCAATTCCCCAAGGCCTAAAGACAGTCATGGAAGAGGTGGATGTGTGAGTTTGTAAGGACCAGATTTGAGAGAGAAAATTAATTGAGACCCTCCAAATCAAAGACAGGCACATAGATGCCTAAACAAAATGCTTGTATTTTGTGTGACTAATTACTCCAAGCCAAGATTGTAGTCACCTAACACACATAAGTCAGTTTTATAACATTGTTTTTTTTTACTTTAGTTTTGACTCTTATATTGCTTAAAAGAGGTTTAAAAGCTAATAAGTGCCTGCCCACCTTCATCCCATCTGGTCTAAAATAATTAATTAGCTATAAGTCTTTTAACTCTAAGTCCCTTGACCTTGGGGGGGTCCCACCAAAGGACATAGTGGACCCAAGGCAGATATAGCACACCACCCCGACATCAGGGTGAGACAAAAGGAAACCTTGGCTATTAATAATATTTCTGGAGTGCCTTGACACAAAGGGAAAATATAAACCAAAAAAAAAAAACAATCCATAGCCCCTCCACAGACTGAGTAGATCTCCAGCTTGCCCAAAGGGAATCCCCTCCAAACACTAAAAAATCTAATTCAAGCCTGATGAGAAATAGGGGTCAGACACACCTCACTATGCTCCCAGCCCTTAATGTTTAAGCCAAGTTCAGAAGTCTTTCCAAATTACAAAAATAAAGTATTGCCCTTTCCTACACACAAAAAGAATAGTTTTTCTCTTCAGTCAGGACACTTAGCCTTATGGGGGGTGGAGGGGCAAAAAAATTTTTTAAAAAAGGATCCCTTGAGGATCAATTACAACCAAAATAGAAGGGCCTCATCAGGTATTATTAAAAACCCTCACCATATTAAACTTTTAAAAATAACTACTTGGGTACACCTCTCCAAAATCCGTTTTTCTTTATGAGTCATAGGCACTGTAACCTACATCTGGGGACAAAACCATGACCTACCTCTGTAAACCTTTGAAAGGCCTCCAATACCTATTTAACACATGGCCAAAAGTAATAATGTGATATTGTGGATGGAAATAGGAGCATTAATTTTTCTCTTCTTCTTGATTATAGTATTTCTTTTTTATCACTTTGGCCAACTACCTTCTCCTAGAAAACATCTCTTGTATCCTTGTTGAATGTAGAGACTCTTCTAAGGCCCAGTTAGACACCATGTTGCCACTATTAATCCTGTTTGCTCTCTCAATTAACCTAATCCAGTGTGGGTGGAAGCAAAACTCTTTAATAAATATTTCAAAAATTATAGCATCAGGGAATCATCTTTGTGGTTACTAAATTTGTCATTAACATCCCCAGGATAGAAAATTCCACCTTCTGGCCCATCCAGAAAATTGGTTTGAATTGAATGATAACAGAAATAAGTTCACTGGAATTTTAAACAATAGAAACAAGAAGAATTAAAATGTTTCCTTTTCTGTGAAAAAAAAAAAAAAGAAAAACAAAACTTACCAAGAATAGTTTAAACATTGTTTGCCTTTTCCTTATTATATGACTTACATTACAAAGAAAGCAGTTTTTCTGTGTGTTAATGAATTGTCATATTTCTTGTGAAGTTTGAATCCACTTCTAACATTTTATCCTTTGCACTTTCAATGTTATGAAATATCTCTGAGAGATTTTTTAATATAAGTTTTTTTCTTGACATCACTTCTGGGACAGCGTCTCTTTTTTTTGTTGCAACTTATTTTTTCATTTATGTCGATAATTTTACTTTCACTAACTTTCTTTGGCTGTAGACCTAAGAGTCTCTTGAATGGCAGGAGAGTCAGCATTCCCAGAGTCAGCTATTTCTTTTATAACTCCATTTCTCTTGATTTAAATTTCACTTCCGAACATTATAATTTTTCATTTATTTGCTGCATGCTCATCTGTTTTGGCCACTTCCTTCTTTTGATTATCCATTTTTGTAAAGTGTCATTTAAGTTTATCACTAGGAGACAAAATGGCAGCATAAGTATACACTTTTTAGTTTCTGTGTGAGTGAAATACCCAGTGACCAATCAGTGACAGACTTTGAAAGAAGTGATGTGATTGGACACCCATCATTACTCACATTTGTCATTCACATGGTGATTTTTGGATGGAAGGACTAATACTGAAGTTGATACTTTATACAGTTAATATACTGTGCAAAGTGAAATTTGAAGCATGTTCTTGGGAGATCGGTTTTAGTTAGCTAAATTGTTATAACTGATATTCATGCATATGGGAACTATGTAAATTGGAAACTGTCAGAATATAATTTTAGAATTTTTATGTCTTCTGGGTGAACATTCTCTTTTAAAACCAACAAACACTTTAGAACCCCTCTTAGGGATACTTCTTGCTTTATATAACTTTTGTCTGGTTTTATTGTAGCCATACCTATACTGAATAACATTTTATATTTGTGTATTGTGTCTTCTTTCATACTATTACTTTTAACTTTTCTTTGTAATTATATTTAATATGGTTAGTTTGTTATCAACATATTATTATATATATATTCCATATATATATGGAATCTAAAATTCTCTGTTTTCTAGTTGGAGAACTTGGTACAATTACATTTAAAGTATTTAACAATGTTTAGTTTAAACTTGCCAACTTACTGTTTGTTACTCATTTGTTCTATATGCTTTTTATTTGTCTATTTCTTGCTTTTTTTAAAAAATACATAGTTTTATTATGTGATTTCTCAATCTATCAGTTTGTTAGTGTGTTAGGGTTTTCCAGAGAGAAGCAATAGCATGTATATAGATATAAGTGGATAATAGGAGGATATTTATCAGGAAAATGGCTCACACAGTTGTCTCATGATAGGCCCTCGGCAAGCTAGAGACCTGGGGATGCTGGTAGCATGACTCAGTCCAAGTCCCAAAACCTCAGAACCAGGGAAGCCAATGGCATAATTCTGTTGGAGGTCAAAGGCTCAGGAACCCCAAGAATCTGCTGGTGCAAGTCCCAGAGTCTAAAGGCTTAAGAACCCAGAGTTCTGATGTCCAAGAGAAAAAGAGGAAGTTTCCTGCTCTGGAAGAGGAAGAAAGATAATTCTTACCTCTTTCACCAGTTTGTTCCATTTGGGCCCCCCGCTGATTAGATGGCATTCATCCACACTGAGGGTGGAGTTTCCTCTCCCAGTCCATTGAATCACATGACAGTCTCCTCCAGAAACACCATACAAACCCAGAAATAATGCTTTACCAGCCATGAAGGCATCTCTCAATCCAGTCAGGCTGACATTTAAAATTTATCATCACAGTGAGCTATACTTTTATTTTCCATGTGGTTAGTCTTGAGGTTCAGCATGCATTCTCACTTGTTAAGAGTTTAAGTTAGTACTCTCACAATTTTATAATCAGTAAGAGTACCTTAGAATGCTTTGCCTCCA